TTGGCTCCACCAAGTGGAATATTTCAGTATTACAGCCTGCCCCACAAATACTTTATAGATGAATGTGCTGACCATCAGGCGCATGATTGTCACCTGATTGTCAGCTCCTGTCAGCAGTTCCAGAGTGACCAACACAACCACGTTGGCTGACTTGGGACAAAAGCTGATTGAAGAATGGGAAGCCATCCCACAGCACTGTGTGACCAAGCTGGTGACAGCATGAGGAGGAGAGGCTGCTGTGGCTTCTATGATTCTTCCATATGCTATTGAGGCAGCTGTTTGTTAAATAAATAAATTGTTGAATTGCCAATATGTCTTGTTTCATCAGACTTCAATCATCCAATCCACCAAACAAGAGTCAACAGCTAAAAACAGCTGTTTGGCATTGGCAAAGAAGAATTGGCAAATGTTTGATGGGCGCACCCCACATATTCAGCTCTGCTGCTCATCCTCACAAATGCTTGTTCCTCACAAATGTGGCACCATTTAAACGGAAAATAAACAGGCTTTCCAACGGTATAAGATTTATTGCCAAGAAGCAATCTTTTACATTGTCAAATGTTTCTGTTTATCTTATGGAGCTTCTTTTTAAAAAAAATTGTTTTTACTAAGTTTGTAGTAGTATAGGCATCAATGTTCATGTTTTTCTCTATCTTTATAAACACATGAACAAACTTTGTGTGAGAAATGGGAATATTTTGTAAAACTCTGAAGCTACACATATTTTATTATTTGCTGGTTTACAGATAATGATAGACGCCCACAGGCTCTGACATTAATCACTCAACATATTTTCAGTGTCCAAACCTATGCTCAGTTCAGGTCACCTGTACATAGCCGAGTGACGCGAGTAGATATTCAAGTTCATTGAAACGTTATACTGTATGTTCCTAGTGTTCATCTCTTACATGCAAACAGACAATAAAGTGTGGAAAATGATGAGTGTCCAGGTGGAACCTGAAATGACAAAGGGACAGATTAATTTAGTGTGGTCTTTCCTATAAAAAAAGATTCAAATTTAAATAAGAAGACAAATGCCTATAAACAACCTGGCAACATTAAATGGAAATCAAAACTTTATGAAAGATAGTCAGATAGTTCTTATTGTCAACCAATCTCATGATACGACTAAAACCAACAGGAAATGTAGGCCTAAAAGGTCATGTCTGCGTATCATATCGTGATACAGTATCTTCTTCCTATGTGTCAAAAAAGGCGATATTTCCTAGTGACCAGCAGTTTAGGAGAAGTATCCTACTCAGGCCCGGTTCTACGGGGGTGCATAAGGGTGCATTGCACCCTCAGTTGAGTCGTTATGCACCCTCATTTGAAAAATGAAAAGTGAAAAAATGAAAAGTGAAAAATATTACATTTTGCCTACTATTACTAACAATAGTAGTAATAATAATAATAAGAAGAAGAAGAATATAGTTGAAATAAAATAAATTGTAATTGTGGTTGAATAGCATTGTCTGCTGCATTTATTTGATCAATTTAAACGGTAAGTAACGTTATTATGTCAGGTGCGCGTGACCTGTGCCGCTGCACATTCATCATCTGCAAGGTGCTTACACAGCAGTCAATGATGGACATCAGAAAATGGTTATAACAACCAGCCCTTATCGCCAGCAGTAACACTGCATCTGCTGCAGGTAATAACAGTTCAGATCATGGGGACATTACGGCTACAACAACTGGCGCCATGCTCTTATAGGCTATGTGATAAGGGACTGGGAAGGCATAATCAAACAAAGAGCACATAGATCCATAGATCTCTTAATGTTGCTCTCAAAGTGCACCAGATTGATGGTTTTAACTTCAATATTTAAAAAAAATAATAATCCCGGGGGAACATGCCCCCGGACCCCCCCCCCCCCCCCAGAGGAGGTGAGGACCCCCCTAGAGGGTGTTAGGTCCACTCCCCACTTATAAAAATAGCACTTTACCACTGCACCCTCTCTAATCTCAGATGCACCCTGAGTCATTTTGTTCTGGAACCGGGCCTGATCCTACTAAACATGTGTTTCCTCCTAGCGAGCCATGTTGCTCTTTGGATGTCGATCATATCGTCCATCACTTTGGTTCATACTTTATTTTCAGTTGAAAGCTTAAATTTGTCCAAAAGTTTGGACAAGACAAACTCCCTACAAAATTAATGACATTCACATGTGCCTGTGTTATGCTGGTTAGCTTATTAAATGTTAGCATGATGGTGAACATGATTATACCAGGTTAGCATCAGAATGCTATAATTGTAAAAACCCTGTCAGCATAAGGTTTAAAACACTGCAATGCTAAACCCTGCAGAGTGGTGCAGTGAGGATGTACTTTTGTAGGCAGACTCTTTTAGCAATGTCGTGGAGCTCTACCAAGTCTGGCTCTTCAGTTGCTAAGTGCACCCCCTATCTTCCCCAGCTATTTTCTAACTGTCTGAGTGCTGTTTGATATGCCTCTTTAGTAGAAAACTGCACAGCTTTAAGCTAAGAGCCACAGACAGAAAGACACAGTGATGATTTTGTTTTTTTTGGATTTGTTGACAAGAAGAAAGCATTAGATTTATAGTAAAAGTACGTTTGGTCTGTATGACTGTGAAGCGTGCTTCATGTAAACATACCTGACTGATCCCCTCCACTCTTTGGAGCTGAGGTGACATACTCTAAAGAAACAAAGACATCTTGTTAACCCACAGTATCACAGCATGTATTCTTTTTGATGGATGTTAGTCCCGCCTCCACCTGTCAGACTCACCTGACATCCTGGCCAGCTCCATGCTGTAGTCAGAGAACTCGTGGGGTTTGCTCACCGTACAAACGTGAGCACCAAAATCCTCCATGTGGACGTGTTGGATGGTGAGTGTGATGCTGCCGGGGCTGTAGCTGATGGTGTACCCCCTGGTGCAGTTCTGGTAAGCTTTGTGTTTGATGTAGTGACACAGCAGCTGGTTGTTTGGGCCCCTCCACTGCACAGACAGCTGAGGGATGTGTGTGCTATCCTCATAGTTGTACGAACACGGAAGGGTGACTTGCTGACCAGGCTGACTCAGCACTTTTACAGCACTGCCTGGGGACAGAAGAGCATTGAAGAGGTCCTCCACACTGACACACCCAAACACAGGCATCTCTTTCTTTGCAGCTGCCACTGGGCTTCAAGCCTGTTTAAATCACATCTCAATATCACACAGTGGTGAAAGAAATATTCAGATCCTTTACATGTAACTGTGAAAATATTTTACTTCAATTAAAATCTGATCAATTCATCTGATCATAATTTTCTCAATGAACTGTTTGGTAAAGTACATTTCCAAAACATCTTGTCAGTCCAAAACCCAAAGATTTTCGGTTTAGATATGATGGAAACGGTAAAAAGCAGGAAAATCTACATATTCAAGAGCCTAAAAATAAGCGTAAAAGCTTATTTGATTCTCACTTTTTAGTCAACAAATTGTTGAAGCTCTACCTTTTTCAGTAACATCTTCCCTATCAGTGTTGTTATTTGCTGTATTCATGTTTATGTTGCATTTTCTCTGATGTATATGTTTGTGATTGTACTAATTTATATCCTGTATTGGCTATTTTAATCTACAATGCAACATATTCTATCAAATGTGTTTGCAGATACATTTTCTGTAAAAAGACAACTTTTCACAAGCTCAGAGATACAGCCCTGTTGTTTTGTTGATGCATTTCCATTTTTGTTGCACTTAAGAATTATGAATACTTTCCATACCTATAAAGGAACACTTAATTTATCAGTTTGTCACAAACATCAGAAAAGCAGAGATACATGGTGTTCACTGGACAGGAAAGTGATGACAAACCTTAACTGGAAAAGTAATCACTGTTATTCTTTGCTAGAACTATGAAGCCAGACGTTCAACAGTATCAGTCATGGGTGGTATTTAAACAAAAATAAATCCAGGGGATACAATTGTCAATAAAAGAAACGTCCTACATGTTCAATTAAATCTGATTATCTGTGTCATTGAACCTACCTTCTCCAACAATTTGCGACATAATTATTCCGAGGAACAGCGCAGCCGTCGCAGTCTGTTCTAGAGGTGTCCTCCACATTTGGTGATGGATTCGAATACTGGAATTCATGAATATAATTCAGGAATATCAAAAACCTCCAGCAGAGAGTTCAGAGATGATGCCTGCCTTGTTTCACTTTTGCTTTCAGTGTTATATTTAGCTGCATGAGATAGCACTCTGTGGTTACCAGGCATCATAAGACTGCTTGTAATAAGATCATATGTTTTGGTTTTAGTTTGAAGTGTATTTGTGTTTTTTAGGGGGTTTAAACATTGAGTCAACAAAAACAGCCTGTACACAAGGTGGTTACATCCTTTCTAATGATCAAATCAAAAGATGACACAGAGAACGCCAGACTCTGAAGGGTCAAAATAATAATATTTTTATGTCATATATTATGTTAATGTTTTAATTACGCCAGTACCATTTAAACCACACTTGTGTCTCCTGCCAGCAGGTGAAGCTTCTCTTGCCCAATGTGAGCAGTCTACACATTATATGTTTACACACTGCGGCTTCAACATGCTTTCAGCCATCATGTAAACATTTTGATCGGAAACGCGTGAACACGTTGCTAGCGACTTTTCCTAACAATTATGTTTATTGAATTTCGTACCATGCCATGTCTTCAGAGACTATTTTCAAGAATAGAAACAGTTGGTTGAGTTAGATAGTGACCCCAGATTTACAAAGCTTACACAGGAAGGTTACGGTTGGGCGATTGATCATAATTGATCAAGTTAAACTTTCCCCCAACTCTTATCAGTTCATCTTTAAGTCCAAGTGAATTTTTGCCAAATTGAAATGAATTCACACCGGACCACACTAAGACAATCAGCTATGATGAAAGGTCAGAGGTACAATTAGATGTATTTATGCATTTAGGATATTTATATTAATAAATGATCTTGCGAGTTGTGTTTGTGTATAAAGGATAAACGCAACATCACATCGCTCAAGAAACAGAAATCTGCACAGAAATCTGTTTAATATCATTCAGTGCCATTTACACAAATAGACTTTTTGTTTTCAAACACACTCACAGTAAAATACTGTCCTAGCTAAACTTCCATTGTATAGAACTACTGACCACAATAACATTATCACACTGTGCACAAAAAGGAGAACACACTGTACACTGCCACAGGCCCACTGAGGTATATGTACAAATACACACACACATACATGCACTCACACACATTCAGTCTCGTTGTGAAGTTTATTTACAGGTGCTCCACCATCTTAAATACGACTCATCTTAATACTTATGTACAAACTCTTGTAAACAAACATTTGGACAATTATTGACGGGGAACGGAAACTGATCAATGATTTATGAAAGTTGTTGACTTCAGGCCTCGTGCAAGAACCTCGTGTGCGAAGACAGAATTTTAACATATACAAAATGACTGAGTATGAATAAAAATACTCAGTTTTCTACAGGGGAGAAACACCTGTTTGACTTAAAAATCTAAATGCCAATAATACATTTATGTTGTATTCATATGGTATTTTATTTATATACCGTAACCCGTCTGATTTACCTTACTTATTTTGTAGATATGGCTAATTTGACCAGTTTGATTTGTTTTGTTCAGCTTGCTTTGTTAGTTATTTCTCTCTTTCTTTGCATTATGTTGTTCATGTTTTCAAGACATCATAAAACTAAATGAATAAAATAATCGTATTTTCTCAATATGATATGTACAGCTTGAATGTTACTATAATAGAAAATGAATTAGTAAAACAAAACTTTGCATTGTGCCAATTGACGGAGATTTTTTATTTTTTTAAAACAAACAAATCAAAGGGCTGCATTGGTGGGAGTGTGTTTCTTCAGGTATCAGTGAGACATTTGAGTTCCACATTGAAAAGACTGAAGGCTTACCAGACTCCACAACACTCTACTGTGATAAAAGCATACTATAATACAGAACTTAATACCTGTGCAAAGCAGAGACTTGTATCTTTCTTTTCTTTTTTGGGCCAGAGTGCCTTTTTTAAGAGATATCGTGGTAAAGGTGTGAATCAGAGGGGAGGACATTGCCTGAAAGTTCGTCGAGGCAGATTCTAACCTGTGTACTGGACAAAGGACTCTACCTACTGGCCACTCAGCTAAATGGCAGCCTGTAACAAAACAATCTTTAACCAAATGTTTTTTAGCATTTTCAATTCAGAGCGTTTCCCCTGTAAGTATGGTTCTACTCTAATGTGAAATTGTCTTTAGCTGTATTAATATATTCAAATACTGAGAGATACTAATGTTACTTTTTTGACCTGCTGATTTCTTTAAAAAAACAGACTTAGATCTCCACTGTGTTTCAGCCTATGATGTGTTTGTGAGTTAACAGGTGGCCCGAGAGGCCACAAGAGGTTGCATTCATCAAGTTTGAACAGCACATGTGTGCACTTAAGCAAACCTCAAAGCAAACATAAAAAGAGGTTCATAATGAGAATACAATCATAATCTTGCATGAGGCCTGACGTGTTCTGATTTTAATTGTTGATTCACATTTTTGTTCTTGTGCTGACAGCTTTGAGTGTTCTAAGGGAAGTTAAGATGTGCTGAGTGTACCTGAACTGTGCTGTGCAGACTCTCCCTGATCCGCATTATCCATCATCACGGCCGACTGGAGGTTAAAGTTGGGCACACAGATTGGACTGAAGTGACCATCTATAGTTCTGTTAGCCCACTTAGCACCAGTGGTAAACCTTTACTTCAGAAAAAGACAGTGCTTAGGTGTTGTTACTTCTTTTGTGCCCAAAGAAGGACCTTACCACCCTGCTGCTGCTACTGTGAAGTACAAAACCAATGAGACACATAAACCATCACTGTACAAATGCATGTAATATTTTACAGTTTTAGTTTTCCTTCTGCTTGTGCCATTCCACTGGCTGGTGATGATGCAGCGCTTACTGGATGCCTCGGAACAAACACATCGCAAACACCATGGCGAAGAGCTGCAGAGAGTAAAGAAACAACATTCCCCTGTATGACATGGTTGCAGTGTTATATTTTATACTGTGCTGTACTTTGCAGTGAACTGGGTCAATTCTCTGCAAAGAGTCAGTATATTTGAAATTACTAAATTATCTTACAGCAGATTTTGCAATAATAGTGTCAACTACAATAATAAGTGCTCCGGCCCCAGCTGTGTGCATCTCTTTTTAGTGTCCCCGTTTCGGCGGACATGTTTTGGTGAGTTATTCTTCATTTGCATGTGTTTTGCCACATTTGTGTTTTTATATTTGCAGAGTTCATGAAAGTGCAGCACGTTCCTAAACGAAATGTTTTGGGCCATTGTAGCACATTTGCAAATGTCGACAACTGTACTACTCTTGTTTAATATGCACACACACACATACAAACCCTTTTTTATTTAAATTTGAATAAAAGCTTGCTTTAAATAGAATCAACACAAATCATTCATAAAATGATGCATGAAATCAGCATCCTAAAAGATAACCTAAGGAAAGTATGTTTATTAAAAGGAATTGATCGGATTTCTTTGGTGTAGAAAGTGGCAGTTTTAGATGTATTGTTTCTGTTGAAAACCTAAGCGTAATTATTGTTAACCTACATCACTGTCCTAAATCCCTGGCATAAAAATAAATAACAGGCGATAAACATTATTCAGTGTTTTAAAAAATAAGGAAATGAGGAAACAGAACATACTTCAATAGTCAGCACCACGATGGCCAGAGCTCCTGCGGTGTAAATATACATCTCAAAGTAGTCCACCACGGCAGAGTAACAGCCCTGCATGGATGAAACATACAGCGATATGAAGAAAACTGCCTGGGTATGACATTTTAAAAATATTTATCTAAGACAGCCATATGGTGATGTGTCCGTTTAACTGGAATAACGGGTTAGAATTAAAATACTTGTTGAATTATCAAACAATATAGTGTTTATAGACTTTTTTTTTTTTTTAAATATCAATACTAAAACTCATCAAATATTGATTTCAGGAATATTTATTAACTGAATAAATAAAGCTGCATATGACCTTGTTGTGTCTGAACACCATGCTGCCGCTCACACACTGCTCCATACTGACGTCTCCGGGGTAACTGTTCCCCTGGCAACAGGCCTCTGGGACCATTTTAGTGGGGCTGAGGAGCCTGAAGAGGCTCTCGTCGAAGTCCTCTGGGCCACTCACACCACAGCAGTCGAACTGTACACAGACACATGAAGGGAGGGGTCGATTAAAGGTGGAGAGGAGGGTGAAAAGAGGAGGTGAGTGTAGAATCAATGCTTCACCGTGGTCATGATGGCGTTCCAGGTGGATGTGAGGACATCAGTGTTGTTGTGACCTTGGTAGTGACGTTTCAGCTCCCTGCTGAAATACTCTCTCGTCAACTGGAAGTAGACACGAACACAGAATAGTTTAGAAACCTGGAAAGTAACTAAGAACATTTACTCAAACTCTGTCTGAAACCAGAGCCCAGTCTGCTCTGATTGGTTAGTTGGCCGGCTCTGTTGTGATTGGTCAACCTCTTAGAGATGAGTTGGAAATCTCACGTATGTGTTGGTGCGCTAGCATATAGAAGCGAAAGTGTTACATAGTGATGTCACTATGTTACTGAAGAAAACAAAGGAGTCCAATGGAGGTGTTTCAGGCAGGGGGGGAGTGGGAGAGAAATGGATGGAACTTGGGGATATTAGCCTCTGCAGATCATTTACATGCTCAAAAACTATACAACACACTACCGGAAAAGGAAATTGGGCCTCTTTAAGTTACATAATTGGGCCTCTTAAGTTCATTTTAGGTAGCCTAAATGTACTGTACTGTAAATAGGGAATGGGTGGGATGAAACCCTCTTTAATGGTCACACATACAGAGCACAAAGCACACACATTGAAATGTAGTTTCTGCTTTTTACCCATCCTAGTACTAGGAGCAGTGGGCAGCTATTGTACAGCCCCGGGGAGCAATGGGAAGTGGGGGCGACATGTGCCTTGCTCAAGGGAACCACGGCAGGGGACTTGAACCGGCAACCCTACGGCTCCAAGCCCCGACTGACTGAGCCACTGCCGGACTTGAGTATTTCCATTTTCCAGTACCTTTTTTTCTTTTACTTCTTTTTACCACATTTCAGAGAAAAATACTGTGCTTCTTACTCCCCTACATTTGTCTGATAACTTAAGTTCATTGGCCAATTCAGATTATTGATACAAAATATAAATAAGTGCATCAATGGAATAAGCATCAGCTCCACCTTTAGAAGGAGCAACATTAAATGAATGCACATATTAATGCATCAATAATTATAATCAATGATATAATGTCTATGATTGGGAAATTATTCTACGTTTTAGTACTTAAAGCATATTTTAATGCTTATGCTTGTAAACTTGTACTTTACTTGAATGCAGGGCTTTTCCTTATGGCAGAGTATTTTAACAATATAGCAATGCTATTTTTACTTAAGTGAAAGATCTAAGTACTTCTTCCGCCTCTGATCAACTCTTAAGGTACGATTGTCGGTCTGTTAAAAACACAACGTTACAACATAGCCAAACATTAGAGAAACGACATATGTACTGCTTCAAACAAAGGATAACATCTGCAATAGATATTCATGTGCCTCCCATGTCTCTATTCACACATGCAGACTAAGCACTGGAGCTGCCACTCTTTGTGATTTAAACCTTGGAATAACATCCTGGCACCACCCAGGGAGACTCAAGGGTCAAAGGTCAACACGGAGAAAGTTCAACTTTGCTTTGCCTCCCAGGGGAAACAGAAAAACGCCACTGATAGTTACGCCAACTCAAGTAGGATATAAAACAAAAGATAATCTGATCCTCATGGTTCTTATAGCTTCACGATTCTCTATGAACTTTAATTAGCTTCTGGGCTACACTTAACATGTCCACAACTTGACGCTTCTTAAAAAGGAAAAAGAAAGTGTGAACAGGGTTGAAGCTCAAACTACATTTTCTGCATCCATGTAGCTGCAGCTGTCTGCATGACATCAATTTTTGTATCTGTCTTTGAGGGTGCAGGTCAAACTTCTACAACCACACCGACTTTACATGTTGACTGCACCTGATCGAACACATCTGCTACACTGATAGACAACAGACTGTGTGTGGTGACATCCATACATCTTTTTACCATCAGCTGTTAAGTAAGGAGGCCTCTGACTTCCCCAGCTTCATAGTGCAACTTGACGGATAATTTTACAGTATTTGTTTTTAAAGATGTTTTAAAATTCATATATATATAAAAAAATAGCAGACCCCTCCAATGTCTTGTATACAGAATACAAACTGTAACCATCAGGTAGATGCTAAAGGTTAGGTTAAATACAGGAAAAGAAGAAGTAAAACTTCTAAACTCTGGACATAAGGACGGTGTGAATGAGGAGCGTAGATGAATGCACTTTATGTAGGCAATTAACAGCATGATGCACTCCACATCTGTTTAATGATAAGTTTTATTTTATTTAGCAGACTTTATGTCCAAGATCAATTTCCCTAGGGACAATTAAAGTGATTTTGACATTTTAGCTCCGTTGAGACAGTACTCACATGCTCCCTGAAGAGGAACGCCAGGATGGCAGCCGCCAGCTCGGCCAGGAAGATGAAGAGGATGAGCATGAAGAACTAAAAACAGTGAAGAAGAAATAATTAGTGTAGTCTAGGCAACGTATTTTTAATACAAAGATATTCTAATAATCATAGTTATACTCTGTAAAGAATGTCAAATGCCTAGTTATGACTCAAGACATGAATATTTTGGACAAAAAACATAATTAAATTGTCCGTTTACTCAACATAAAGTGTACTGAGTGTGAATAATAGTTTGTCCATAATGAATTTGTCTGGTGAAGTAATGGCTGAATAAAAAAAAGGATCGTATAAAGTATCTTGTACTTTTTGTAGACATGCATCACTACATTCCTCTAGATGGCGCACTTGTATTGTTTCACTCTGCTATTACATAACTTTGTGCTCCGGACTTGTTTTGTAGCATTTTTACCACTTTTTTAAGGCAAATATGAAATCGCAGCACTACATTTTAATTACATAGAACAAAACTGCTGTAAGAAATAAACAGAAAAGGCTTCTAAGAGTTATTAGTATATTATTCTGGGACTAGAGATACCAGATTTCTTTATTTAAATTGTAAAAAAAATACATCATCTGTATTTGTGAGTGTATGTGTTCTTTCTAGAACATATGAGTGTAAATACATTATGTGCTTATTGGATACTAGCCTTAAGGTAAAATAGATCCAAATAATTAAAATAATAACCTCTGCTTTACTACGTGATTAGAGTTCTCCAAGGTAATGGGTCAATCAATAGTAAAAGTACTTTACAGCATTATTCTAAATTTAAAAATGTACTTAACCCTGTTTTACTTTTACTGAAATAATCCCACAGGATTATTATTTTTCTTGCTGTAACACTAAAGCAAATATGTCCCTGTGTTCAGAAGATGTGAGACAGGTGACGCTGCAGCACACTCACAAACATCAGCAGACACTTGTTCTCCCTGATGGCTCCGCAGCAGCCCAGGAAGCCCAGCAGGAACAGCATACTGCCCATGGCCAGGATGACGTAGACCCCGGTGAACAGCACCGGGTTGGCCGCCACGATCTCCCTGAAGCCCATCGGGTCCACCAGCACCCAGACACCCACACCCAGCAGGAAGGAGCCCCCCAGCTGGGAGAGAGAGGGCTCAATGTTCACTTATTAAGACAGCTTTCCCCTGTCACAATAACTTATTTTGTTGGAAAATATATGGTGCCAGAAAAAAATTCAATAAAGTTATATAATTAATGACCATTTGATGACACTAATGTAATGAAAATATAATAGGGAAATAATGCAAAAACATGATTTAAAACAACAATTAACTTTGAATTCTTTAGAATATTCAAAAATTGGAGTTAGACTATGAGAAATATAAAAATATTCTAAATAAATAAAATATAACAACTAAAACAATAAATCAAATGGCAATTCTGGCACAATGGAAGGATGTTGACCACTGTAAAAAATATATATGGCCATTGGAAGGACGAAGTTGTGTCCTGTAAACTGTGATTTTGGGTAAAAAAAATATTATATTTGTTTTTACTTTAAAGTTAGCTCGATTAGACTGCTGGTAAAGTCTGATCTTCTAAAGCTTGTGTTTGTTTACCCATTGGCCAGAGCTACAAAATGTAGCCCCTGTTGTGATAGACTGCAGTTCTATCTCACACAGGCTCCGCCCTCTACTGGACTCTATGGGTACTACTCTCATCAATGATACGCAAGCGTTCACACACTAAAGTTGTATAAACGTAGCCGGCCAATCAGGGCGAGCCTACCTGAATGCGCGTGCAGGCTCACAGTATATAAGGCAGAGCTACACGTCCTGACTGTCATCCTTTTCTCTTCAGCGAGCGGGACAACACCTGAGAAAAGCATTCGAAACAAGTACAAAGTATCTTACCTCCAGGCAAGCGAATGGAGTCGCCACTGCAGGAAACCCGGGCCTGTCCCTCATGCCCAGCTTAATAGCGGGCGCCGATCCCCACCAGCTCTGGTTCGAGTGCCTGGGACCAGACCACGCCGAAGACGAGCTCGAGGTGGTGGACGTGGGAGACCAGGATATGGCCGAGGCGGCGCCACCAACGTTCGCCATCCCAGCCGTGCGGGTTATGGCTCTGTTTGCTGAGGAGGAAGAAGATGACTTCGCCTCATCGGTGTCTGAAACTTCCGGGTCCGGAATCCGCGGAAGTCCACCGCACATGTCTGCCCGCCAGGTCGCGTCAGACTACCGCTCCCCCCACCACTGCCGCCGAAGCCGGTAAGCAGGTTACGGTCCAGCCCGAACGGCGCAACCGGCTTTCGTCTCGCCCCCATTGCCAGATATCTGGCAGTGTGTGGAGGCGTCGTGGCAACGGCCACTGAAAGCGAGAGCTCCGGTGGCAGGAAAGGTAGGTATTCTGAGGGTGCGGGGCCGCACGGAGACCTCATATCCCGGCGTGCCCCCCCCCTCGATGAGAGCCTGGCAACACATCTGCCGCGTGACAGGGCGGCTGAAAATAACACTGGTGTGTTGGGCGTCTCGCTGATTGCTCTTCCGCAAGATGCCCCCACCTCACCGGATCAGAGCGATTATTTGACTGCAGCATCGGCCAAATTAATATCCTGGTCCACGTTATGGCCGCCGCTGCTTGCCGAGTGATGTCCCTGGCCACAGTGGGATCACGCCGCGTAGCACTTTCCAAAAAAAGACTGTGATGATCTCCTGGGAGCCCCCGTGTCTACGGAAGGGCTCTTTGGATCGATTTCCTCGGTCACGTGGATGAGGAGAAGTCGCAGCATGCTGCTTCTTGCTCATCCTCAGAGGAGAGAACACTGTCCCACACTCGCCGCCCCCGCTGTAACTCCAGTAAAGGAAGCAGCAGGTGGGCGTGTGCACGTGAGTGTAATAAACTTCAGAAAGTGCTGTCAAAGTGCTGTCAAAGCACTATGCGGGTTCAGGGACGCTATAGCCGGCATGTTGTTGTCAGAAAACACACCTCGCCTGGTATAATAGCTCCGATTAATGCATTTCACCGTTAATGTGAAACATAGCATTAATACGAAGGCGCGCGGCCCCGCGAGAGTGGTCGTGGTGCATTCAAGAACTTTGGCGGCGGAGAGGGCCACCAGAGAGTACCACAGCTTCTTAGCTGCGGCTCCACAGCTGCTTCCTCAGCTGTGTACTGACAGCATGGGTGGACAGGACACTGGGAGTGGGTTACTCACTCCAGTTCTGCAGCGTCCCCCCTCCATTCAGAGGCAAATCTATCATCCCAGGAGGAGATAGGTTTCCTTTCAACAGAAATTCTGGCCCTGTTGCAAAAACGGTGGGTTACGTATTGTAACCCTAGTTCTATAGGCACAGGTGGAGCCCTCTATTGGACTATATGCTCTCATAGAGAGAGAAAAAAATAGAGGGCAACCAGAGAGTACCACAGCTTCTTAGCTGCGGCTCCACAGCTGCTTGCATGTCCCCTAACACAGTTTTATGGGGAATGGAAGCTCAGCTGTGTACTGACAAAATGGGTGGACAGCACACTGGGACTGGGTTACTCACTCCAGTTCTACAGCGTAACCTCCTCCATTCAGGGCTGCAAAAAGTTCCACATGTTAAACAGTTACTGGAACTGGTGCAGCCGGGTGATTGGTTCACAACCATCGACCTGAAGGACGCTTACTTTCATGTTGAAATTGCTCCAAAACACAGGAAGTATTTGCGTTGTGCCTTCCAGGGGATAGCCTACGAGTACAACAGACTACCGTTTGGCTACTCCCTGTCCCCACGCACGTTCAGTGTACGCCCCCATCGAGAGCGAGGTGTACGCCCCAATCGAGGGAGAGGTGTACGCCCCCATCGAGAAAGAGGGCGCCACTCTGTCAGAGAACAGACGGACGTTCCTGCTTCCGGAAACAGTTCTGAATTGGTTTGAATCCTACTTAAAGGACATAAACAACTTTGTTTCTATAGGTAAATACACATCTGAGTTGACAAATATGACATGTGGGGTTCCTCAAGGCTCCATCTTGGGGCCTCTTCTCTTTAACATCTACATGTTACCACTGGCTCAGATAATGAAAAACAACAAAATAAGTTACCATAGATATGCAGATGACACACAAATGTACGTAACAATTTCACCAGGAGACTATGTTCCAATTCAAACACTGAGTAAGTGCATTGAACAAATCAATGACTGGATGTGTCAGAACTTTCTCCAATTAAACAAAGATAAAACTGAGGTAATGGTTTTTGGAGCCAAGTCAGAACGTATAAAAGTTAGCGCTGAGCTTCAGTGTGCAATGTTCAAAACAACAGATAAAGCCAGAAATCTAGGTGTAGTCATGGACTCTGACCTGAGTTTCATTAAAGTCACATTAAAACAGTTACTAAATCAGCCTACTATCACCTAAAGAATATATCTAGGATTAAAAGACTAATGTCACAGCAGAATTTGGAAAAACTTGTCCATGCCTTTATCTTCAGTAGACTCGACTACTGCAATGGTGTCTTCACAGGTCTCACTAAAAAATCTATTAGGAAGCTGCAGCTGATTCAGAACGCCGCTGCTCGAGTCCTCACTAACACTAAGAAAGTGGATCACATCACTCCTGTTCTGAAGTCTTTACACTGGCTTCCTGTGTGTCAAAGAATAGATTTCAAAATACTGCTGCTGGTTTATAAAGGACTGAATGGTTTGGGCCCAAAATACATTTCTGACCTCCTGCTAAATTATGAACCATCCAGATCTCTCAGGTCTTCAGGGACTGGTCAGCTTTCTGTCCCCAGAGTCAGAACTAAACATGGTAAAGCAGCGTTCAGTTATTATGCTCCAAATATCTGGAACAAACTCCCAGAAACCTGCAGGTCCGCTGCAACTCTGACTACTTTTAAATCCAGGCTGAAGACTTTTCTTTTTGTCGCTGCTTTTAATTGAACTATTCATATCTTAGACTGCACTCTAACTTTTATCCATGTACTTTTTCTTTTAATGTTTAATTGAACTATTCATATCTTAGACTGCACTGTAACTTTTATCCATGTATTTTTTCTTTTAATGTTTATTTTATTAGCTTTTCTTTTTAATGACTGATTTTAAATGCCATTTTCTTAATGTCTTTCATTTTTTGTAAAGCACTTTGAATTGCCTTGTGTTGAAAAGTGCTATATAAATAAACTTGCCTTGCCTTCAGGCAGTTTTCAGACTGTGACGGGGGGCAATGGTGACAGCCCTTACCATCATGCAGACTTTGGGTCTCATGGCGGCTGCTCACCAAGTGGTACTGCTGGGGCTACTGCACATGCGTTGCCTATAGAGATGGTTTGCCAGCCTTTGTTTAGATCCCAAGCATAAACGACGTCTGGTGACCATCGACAAGACGTCGTTTCAGTAGAGGGCAACCTCCGATACTGGGGGTCCCCAAAGCATTTGCTGAAGGGGAGGGACCTGCCTAGAGACAGCTATAGGTGGTGGCTGGTCTCTGACAGAGACCCGGCACATCAACCTTCTCGAGCTACAGGCAGTAGTACTGGTCTTACAGCACTTCAAACCCTTACTACAGGGCAAACATGTGCTGGTGAAGAGCGACAACCGCACCACGCTTACATCAACAGGCAGGACGGAGTCAGCCCCGCCGCCTTGTTGAGTGCAGCGGAGAACCTGTGGTTGTGGGCCTCAGAGAATGCTTTTATCTCTAAAGGCTCCCCACATTCCGGGACTGGAGAACAGTGGGGCTGGCCTCATGTCAAGAGGCGGGTCCCTGCCAGACGAATGGTGATTCTCCCTGGCTCGGCAGGACAATCCACCCTTGGGGGTGGACACGTTTGCACACGAGCCATGGCCAAGATATTTGCTCTACGCCTTTCCACCGCTGCGTCTCATTCCCCCACTCCTGGAGAGGGTGAGACAAGAACAGTTGTCGGTCATTATGGTAGCCTCAGGTTGCCACTCGGCGCCGTGGTACACAGAAGTGACACAAATGATGGTGGGCCAGCCCTGGACAGTTCCTCAGTTCTGGGGGCGCTGTCTCAGGAGGCGGGTGCAATAGGGGCGTTACCCACTCAGGGCCGACCTCTCCAGGCTTGGCTCCTGAGAGGGACAGGCTGAGAAGGGGTGGACTGTCTGACAAGGTAATTCAGACTATCCAGGCAGCAAGAGCGGGATCCACCACAGCCTGACGAAGTGGTTGGGATTCCTGCAGTTACTGGAACTGGTGCAGCCGGGCGATTGGTTCACAACCATCAACCTGAAGGACGCTTACTTTCATGTCAAAATTGCTAGAAAGACAAAACACAGGAAGTATTTGCGTTTTGCCTTCCAGGGGATAGCCTACGAGTACAACAGACTACAGTTCGGCTACCCCCTGTCCCCACGCACGTTCAGCAAATGTGTGGCCACAGCACTTCAGCCACTACGCGACCATGGCATGAGGGTTTTATTTTATCTCAACGACCTCATAGTCATGGCCAGGTCCAGGGAATGGGCAGATGTTCCACACAGCCCAATTGATCTTACACCTAACCAAGTTGGGGGTTTGCGGTCAATTGGAAGAAGAGCAGTCCCATACCTCACCAGCAGGTGGGGTATCTGGGGATTTTGCTCGATGCAGCCCCCATCGAGTGCGAGGTGTATGCCCCCATCGAGAGAGAGGTGTACGCCCCATCGAGAAGGATGGCAGGCTACGTGCCACTCTGTCAGAGAACAGACAGACGCCCCTGCTTCAGGCAGACTGAACGTTGGTGCGAGGAAAGGAGTCTAGAACCTCTGTCCGGTACATTGGGCTCTATTCTATCCTATCTACAGTTAATGGTGGACAAGGGGCTTGCTCATGCCACAGTCAAGGTGTATGCATCTCGTCCTGTCATGAGGGATTTGGCGGCAGATCAGTCTTTAGCCAACCGCTTAAGAAGCATTTTTTGCAGGGGATCAGGAGACAGCGCCCAGTGGTGCATGTCTCCACCCCGCAATAATAACTGATATTGGTGCTCGAGGCTTTGGTTACAGAACCGTTGAGGCCACTGGGGTCCGTGCACACTCTACACGTGGTGTGGCTGTGTCGACAGCCTTGTTCGACGGCGTGAGTGTGGTGGACATATGTACTTTAGTTTATACATTATTCGAATAATATAGGAATAGTAGATAGGATTACTTCAAATATAGTACCTTATATTTAATCTTTTTTCCCTTTAGACCCTTGTGGTTTATTCTTAAAAACCTTTACCCACCCCCCATTTTCCCTCTGCTGGTCTATGGCCTTGTAGAGGGTAACGGGGTCGCTTAGATAAGCGGGGGAGTGCATCTGACGAAGAGATAGGTTGTTATGCTCCCTATCTCTGTTTCTTATCCTATATCTAATAGAACTGCTCGGGTCTTGATAGATTGAGTGGGGAAGTTCATGAGATCTTTCTAGAGGGTTATCAAGAATAACTTTTATCCAATGACCTTTTCCCTCTTTGTCTGTGTCTGTGTATTCTCTTGTTCCGATTAACCCAGCCAAATCTTTTTTCTTGTTTTGTATCTACGCCGGGATCCGGAGTCGAGGCTGATCCTCTTGCTGTAGTCCTGTGTCTTGGATCCTCTATCCTGAGTTCTGGATTAAGTCGTGGACTTCGGGTCGTGGCTGAACCTGTCTCTGCGGTCCTGCCTTGGGTCTCGTCATGCTGCTTCCCTGATGGCTTCCTCAGGATTGTAGCTGACATCCTCGTGGATTCATCTTCTTATTACAGACAAATGCATTTCCTAACATTCGGTCTATATGCTGTAAAATGTATTATCTCTTCGATTTACACCCGGCATCTATTGCACGTCTGTCCGTCCTGGGAGAGGGATCCCTCCTCTGTTGCTCTCCCTGAGGTTTCTCCCATTTGTTCCCCTTAAACTGTGGGTTTTCTCTAGAAGTTTTTCCTTGTACGATGTGAGGGTCTAAGGATAGAGGGTGTCGTTTTTCTCATACTGATATTCTGAAGAATCTGTGCTGTTGTATTTGCTGTAAAGTGTTTCTACTGTAGGCTATTTTTATTATATGTACAGCACTTTGGCTCGACCAAAAATCGTTTATAAATGTGCTATATAAATAAAACTTGATTTGATTTGATTTGATGTACGGCGGCGTCTTGGTCTACGCCAAGCCGGTTCATAAGGTTCTATCTTTTGGACATGTCTGGCTCCTTCTCATCGTCTGTGCTTGCTGGGGCAACACAGGACTGGTGAAAAGAGGGGGGCTGTGGGTCGGTAAGCTGTATCTGACCCCCTGGGACATAATACACTTACGTTTCCCCATGCTCCTTAAGGACCTGGGAAACGTGGTGCGCAGTGTGTAGTCACTTGCGCTGGCACCTGCAAGGTGGAGCTATGGGCTTATTCAGACCAATTAGGCTCTACCCAGCCAAGTAAGCTGCGGCCCCGACTTCTCCACGGTCACAACCGGGTGATAGGAAGTTGGGGTGTGATGGCTGTTAACCAACAGGGTGTTTATTCATCGGGGCTCCACCCACTGTACCCATAGAGTCCAGTAGAGGGTGGAGCCTGTGTGAGATAGAACGGGGGGTTACGCCGTGTAACCCTAGTTCTATAAGCACAGGCGGAGCCCTCTACCTAGGGGCCCTGTCTTCCCTATGCCGCTCGCTAAAGAGGGTGTAGGATGACAGTCAGGAGGTGTAGCTGTGCCTTATATACTATGAGCCTGCGCGCACATTCAGTTCGGCTCGCCCTGATTGGCCGGCTACGTTTACAGTATACAACTTTAGTGTGTGAACGCTCGCGTATCATTGATGAGAGTAGTACCCATAGAGTCCAGTAGAGGGCGGAACCTGTGCTTATAGAACTAAGGTTACAATACGTAACCCCCCGTTTTCCTTTACAGATATACTCTAATCATATATAATGAATCAAAGTAATTTATACATGACATCTTGTCAGTAAAAAGCACAAGAGATTTAAAAGAGACGTAATGATCTCAGCATTCACTCACAGCTGAAATGTTCACAACATGAATATCTTCTGCTGTCAGTTAATTAAATAAGGGAATATTCAGACTTGACTTGAAAGCTTATAGTTAACATTTTAAACAACAAAAATGCATCTTACAACAACAACAACAAGGAAAGATGCTGCATTTTAAAACATTCATTAGCATAAAGCTATATTGGAAAACATATCAAAGACATGATTATAATTTTACAGGATTGTTTTCTGATTTTATTCTGATGTTAAACCACAGAAGGAGAGAGCACGAAGAGTGTTGAACTCACAAAGATGAAGAAGTTGAAGATGAACATGAGGTACTTCATACAGCTGAGGCAGTCCCCCTCCATGGCTGAGCCTCGGGCTGAGACCTCCCCCTGCAAACACACACACACACACAGTGTTTATTTAGCAGCATGAGACACTTTTGATTTTCTTTAGGGTTTGTGGAGACGATAAAAGAGCTAAAAGAGAGTACATTCTGGACATATCATCAGGTGGACAAAAACAACAAAATAATTATATTGTTTATCTTTAACTGTAAAACGTGACAATATGTAACTGTGTTTATTTCTTGTTTCACCGCCCCCCAAGTGACCAAAAAATGTATTAAGGCAGGTTTCAATTATGTACGAGTGATTAAGAAAATACTGCTATCAGCGATGCAACAATTAATCCCCTGATACCTTGATTATGAATCAGCTTCCTAAAGTTGTGTATTTTTTATGTCTATATCTCTGTAAATGTAATATCTTTTTGGTGTTGGACTGTTGTGAAACAAAAATAAGCAATGTTACATTAAGATCTGGGATATTCTATTGAGTTTATTTCACAATGTCCTGGACCAAGCATTTAACCGATAAATCCAGAAATATAAGCACAGTAATTGATTATGTAAAATAATAAGTTGTTCCAGCCCAAAATCCCAAATCTTAAAGCATCATTCACATGATACGCAACTCTCTCTTTGGAGCAGAGGTTGGGCGCAGGGCCTTGCGGTTGAAAAATATAGTTCAGTTTGAATTCTATCGTTACCTTACCTGCTACCTTGCAGCTACCTTGCAGCGGTGATCTGATTGGTAGGCGTCAAAAGATAAGCAGTAAACAAGGTCAAAGTTGAAACTATTTGAATTTGAGCGCAGCGCTAGGCAACAATTTAGAGCGGTGTGCAACGCCAATGGTAGCAACACGCAACTCGAGCAACACGTCAACGCAGACCCGTTTTACCGCATACTGTATTATGTGAATGATTAACTTAGTCAAAAGAACAATCTAAACATGTTATATTGGATATTTTATTGAGCTTTTTTCAGAGATTTATGGCAGTTTGTCGACAACATTTAATCAATGAATATAGAAATATAAAAAATATATGAATATTGTAAATTAATAAGTTGTTGCAGTCCTAGTAATATAAGAATCTTAAAGGCTAAACGTTAATTCAGCAGGAATCAAGAATATATTTTTCTGTTATTTTGAAGGCGTAAAGATGAGGGAAATTTCTTACAAGACAACATGAATACCGATTTGTCGCAAAGTTAAAACAATATGATTTGTCTTGCAGCATGCATACTGTAAATGTAACTCTATGCAGCATGTTGCATAAAGCTCCTGAACACTCTGTGTCTTATCTGCAGTCGATATGAGCAAACATGAGAAGCAGGACGGAGGAAGGTGCGATGACATTTTGTCAGTAACAGTTTTCGTCAGAGGACGTGACACTGCCAGCCTGTCCCTGTGGCTTGGTTTGACTCATGGAGGGACGTTGGCTGCTACTGAGGAGGACATGTTGCTGTAAGTGGGTCCATCAGTGGGGGTGTGAAGAGGACCAACTGTGCACTTATGGTCCCTGATGGTGTTTACCAGACAAAACATGCAGCCACCTGTCATATCAAAGAGGACAGAGAGTTTTCTTTAATATCAAATTAAATCAAGAGCAAGACTACTGTGAAAGGTCCTTTTAAGGGCCTTATTTCAGATGTAATCACATCAAACGTTGTGTCTACTATGGTTAGTATTTAGAGACAGATGATCACTTTTTATTCCGTCCATGTTGGCTATAGCTGTTTATGTTGACCGACTATTTCCAACCCTATTAATTGAAGGGAAAAGGATTCTTTGGAAAGGACACACAGTAAGATGTAACACACTCTTAGCGATCAGTATTGTAAATGAAGAAGCTTATAGGTTAGGACCTTGAAGACTTTGTCAGTCCGCTCCATCCTCATTTGTTCCTACTGAAGATGTAAATCTACAAAAACAACTCAAAGTTTGTATTATTTTCCTAAAACCGCTCTAATGTTTCACTGCAGTATGTTTACATGTTAATGGTAATGAAGGGACAAGTCACTAGGTGCAACAGTGTGGCTCACTGATGTGTTTTGAGCCTCGCTAAAAGTCACAGACTGTGATCGTTTTATCAATCAATCAATCAATCAATGTTTATTTATATAGCCCAATATCACAAATGTTACATTTGTCTCAGTGGACTTTACAGTTTGTACAAAATATCAGTATGACAATACGACACCCTCTGTCCTTAGACCCTCACATCGTACAAGGAAAAACTTCCGGAGAAAACCCACAGTTTAAAGGGAAACATGGGAGAAACCTCAGGGAGAGCAACAGAGGAGGGATCCCTCTCCCAGGACGGACAGACGTGCAATAGATGCCGTGTGTAAATTGAAAAGATAATACATTTGCAACATATCTGTGATCGTTTTATCCACTTCACACTGAATATTTTACGTATTGAAGTACTCGCGCGAACGTCCATGTATGCCTGACTCTTTGTAGTGCAACCATGAGGTTTACATGTGTTTCTTAAGAATGAAATTGGATGCAGATGTTTGTGTTTCACTCAGGATGAATTGTTATTAATTTGGCCCTAAAGACATCAGTTTACATTCTATTGACATTGCCTATAGCCAACTTTCTCTATACCTGACAAAGTCATTTTATTTTTACCGCAGTAATATCTAGCAGGTCATGGACGGCACATAAGTATCTGAAACCTTTCAATGTGTTGTTATAGAAAGAAGTTACAAAGAACAGATTTGGTTGTTCAATTTGGAGGTGAGCTGTTTTGGTGAAAATGTTCTATGCACTGGTCAACTCTGACATTTTGGGTTATTCTTTTTTTTTTTTATATCAATTCTGCATTTAGACTATCCATCTATCCATTGTCCACTGCTTATCTGGAGTCGGGTCGCGTTGGAAGCAGTGCCTGCAGAGGGTCCCAAACTTCCCTTTCCCTGGCCACATCAAACAGCTCTGACTGGGGGATGCCAAGGTGCTCCCATGGAGATATTATCCCTCCAGCTGGTTCTGGGTCAGCCCCTCAGTCTCCTCCCAGCTGGGAGTACCTGGAACACCTTTCTAAGAAGGTGGCCAGGAGGCATCATGACTAGGTGTCCGAACCAGCTCAACTGTCTCCTTTCTACACAAATGAGCAGGGGCTCTACTCCAAATCTCTCCCAGTTGACTGAACTTCTCAGCTTATCTCGAAGGGAGATGCCAGCCACTCTCCAGAGGAAACCTATGTAAGCCGCTTGTAACCGCTATCTCGTTCTTTCGGTCATGACCCATCCTTCACCACCATAGGGGGAGAGTAGGAACGAAGATGACCGATACATTGAGAGCATTGCCTTCTCAGCTCGGCTCTCTCTTAATCCCAACGATGCAGAAAGCGTTTGTGATAATGCTCTTGATGCTCCGATTCTACGGCTCATCTCACACTAAATTGTCTTTTTTAGACTAGTGGTCTAAAAGTCCAAAATAAACATGTTCTTTCACTAACTTTGTCTCTTTGCGTTTGTAGATTTCTTCTAAATTAGAAACAAAGTGAGCATTAGCTAATGCCTAATTTGCATGTCTAAACATAACATTTTAGAAAACATGTAGTACAAAAAAAGTTATGTAATAAACTGGGGAAGTTTCAAGGTAATATCTATTTGTCGAATGGTCTACCCTGTTTTGCTCTTTTACTATTGTCTACATTATCCTAGTGTTTGAGCAATACATTCTGTATTTACTTCCATTGTAACTGGAAATGAAGCATGCTTGTCTTCTTCAAAATTCACAATTGAAACGAACAAAGATTGCAGGGAAAAAGAGAGGTTTGAAAGTGAGATCTGTAAGATGGCCTTATTTTTTGGTGGATTTCAGGTGTCCTGTGTAACAACTCCAGTAATTGCTCTTTGTCTGACTGCGGTGAGCTCTCGACAGTGTAAATGTGTATTTACTGCTAATTTGACCGCTGTGTTGAGCTTTTATTTTAATGGAGCGAAATGGCGGTAGCTTGGCTTTCACAGCAATTAGAAACGCAGGTTTTGTGTCAGCCAGTGCACTCTGAGCAATTGCTGCCTCTTTGGCTTAAATAAGAAATTTGTCTGCACATGCACTCAGCTTTATTAACACTTCTATGTAAATCACTCATGTCGGCACAATTACGCAAGGATTACAATTACGCTGATTGATCTGTGATTGTGAACAAAGGAAGACTGCGGTTGTAAGAAGAAACAACAAGAAGAAACAAAGAGCTGTCGAAATATAACAACAAGTGTTATGGCAGTGTGTCAAAGAAAACCTGATTACAGTCACATTTACTGCAATCATAAAACTGCTGCCATAATCACAAACAGACATCTTGATTAAAGCACCAGGGGTCCTAAATGCTAAAAACAGCTATCACGGTTACAAGTAATCACGATTTAATTTATCATAATACATTACTACAATTATATTCACCGTTATAATTGAAACAGCTCTTTTAGAAATTAAACACTATTAGTAATGTGTTTTTTCTTTATCTCAATGTAGAATGCAAAACTAGATGCACTAGAAAAATGGCTAAAAACTATTCAGGCTTCTGTTTCTGTTGAAACGTTGGAATTGGGACAGTCCTTATAAGAAGAAAACAACAGTTTGGCACCCAGATTGTTGACATCCATCTTCATCGATCTTCATCTTCAACTTTAAATAGACACTTGATTTTTCAAGCATTTGGACTATATTGTAAATGATCTGTTTCATTCAAACACAACTTCCCTCCTCTGTTGCTCTCTCCGAGGTTTCTTCCATTTTTCCCCGTTAACTGTGGGGTTTCGTTGGGTGTTTTTCCTTGTCGGTTGTAAGGAAAGAGGGTGTCATATGTATTCTGTACAATCTGTAAAGTCCCCCTCAGAGAAATGTAAAATGCGTGATATTGGGCTATTTAAATCAACTTTGATTGATTGAACAGTTCTTCCAGTATTGCTTATGTAATAACAACAATGCATTACTTTGAAGTTGTTGTCTGCAATTATGAATTATATATTTATAATCCAAGCAAAGAGCAAAGCAGTATTTTACCTTCAGAAATTTGTATCATATTTTT